CTGCCGCCCGCCGCGCCAGCACCGACCGCCGCCGCCTCCCGCTTCTCCCGGCGCCCTCTGCGGCTCCCCTGCCTAAATCAGTGCGGGCCCACAATGCACCGCGCGGGGAGGCTCGGGCGCTCCTGCCCTCCTTTCCCCCCCTCCCGCCAGCGCCCTGGGGCCGCGGGTTCGAGACCCGCTCTGCCGGGGAGCGCCTTTTCCCTTTCTGCCCTCGCAAGCGATACTCCCGCCGCCCACGGGTGTCCGCCCCAAAGGAGGGCTTGCCGCGTCTCTTGGAGCGGAGCCCCGGGGGGCTGGAGGCGGGCTGGCTGAGGGCTGAGCAACAGGGCAGGACCGGAGTCATCGGGGCTGTGGGTGCCGGAGTGGCCCCGCAATCGCAGTCCTTTCCCGGGGCCTGCGTGTCGCGGCACGGCCCTGCCGGGCGGGTCGGCCCGCTCCTGCCAAACAGCGCGGGCAGCGCCCACGGGAGCGGGAGCTGGGCCCTGCCCCGATCCCTCGGCCCGCTCCCATCGCCTCAGCTTGCCCTCCCTCGCCCTTGACCTGCTGCCCTGGCCTCAGCCCCGCCGCCTGCACCCTCCACCACAGACCTTTGGGGGGGCGAGGGGCGGTGGCGAGCCCCGTGTTCGCGCCTTGGGGCTGACAGAGCTGTGAGGGGATGGTTTTCACCCAACGAAACGGTGTAACTAACGGTTCTGCGGTGAGCAAAGCCGGCTGGAGGAGCCAACGCCTGCTTGGGTCTCCGGGCCGGTGGAAGCGGCGTAACGAGCCGTCGTCTGCCGCCGTAATTCACACGACGCGTGTGTGCCGTCCAAAGGCTTGGCGTGGGCGACGGAGGCTTCTCCCGCCTCGCCCTGTGAGGAAGCCATGACACCACGTCCTCAGCACAGCTCCAGCGAGGGGTGACTTCGACTTCACCGGCGTAGCTTATTCTCCACAGGAAGCAGGGTTTGGCTACGCTGACAAAAGAACTCTTTTTTTAAAATTTTTTTTCCTGTGTAAGCCGTTTCCAAAACGGCATATAAACGTTTCCCACTTGCGTTTATATAGCTTCTACTCTATTCCTGGAGGATCGTGTTTCTAAAGCTTTTACCATGCACGTGAGGAAGGTTGGAGTTTGTAGGCTAAGCTTAGGAAAATCTCTTTCCTCTCTTCCGTTTGTGTTACTACTATGAATAAAGCATTTGCATTTTGGACCCTATTCTTGCTCTTATAGCGGAAAGCTCTGAAAAGCATCAAGGGCCAGTTACGCACACAGAGGCACGTCATGCCAAAAAGTAGCAGTCCCTGCGCTGGAGGTTGTGCAGATCTGTGACTGGATTACGTGACACTTAATTTGTAAACACAACATATTGACACCTAGCATTGGATAGAAAGGATCATTAATGAATCACTCTTCCTTCCCCCAAATACGAAAATCTTTACAATTACAAATTTACTACATTGTGCTCTTTCCCTTTGGTATTTGAGCCTTTAGGGTGAATTCGGGTCACATTTTTAAGCTTTTTCACCACAGCCATGAGGTCTAGATTTTTTTTTTCCCCCCTCTTGAAGTTTCTGATTTAATCACATGACTCTGGGAGCTAGAACTTTAAGGAAAAAGCCAAATATTACGAGGCCCATTTCAATCCCGAGCTCTGCCAAATACTGGTTAGCGCAGATTTAATGCTGCGTAACACACCATTGAAGTGTAATTGTATAAATACCAATATCTGACTTTTCAATATAGAAAGATTAGCAAAAAAATTCCAAAATCAATCGTGCTCTTCCTGAGGAAACCTCCCAATGTTATGGATTAACCTGTGTTGTCAAATAGTCTCAGTATAGCTCAATGCTATTATTTATAAGCTTTGATGTATTTATATTGATATATTTAGAAACGTATAAGCTTCGATTTTAACATAAACTACTTAAAATGATCATGGGAGGGGAGGAAGGCAGGCATCATTCACCTGGCCCTCTCCTTCAACCTGCTACTGAGGGCTTAACCCACACTGAGCGTTTCTTGCATATAATAAGCATCAATGTAGAACTATCAGCAAAATCTGGGCCATGCTTGTGAAGCACAGCGACATATTTCTGCGGTCAAACAAAGGCAGGTACTTAATGCTTAAAACTAGGTCCTGAAGATTACCTTGAACATAATCAGCTCTTTATTTCTAAGCACATTTCTACAGATAGATACTTCTATTTCATTGCCCCAAACTCTCTCTTTGTCTTTACCTGCATCAACAAAATTGTCTCCCGTAACCTGCGTGCAATTCATCAGCGACTGTATTCCTTATACACCACAGATGCTGATTTTGTCTGATTCTTTAAAGAAAATAAAAATACTCTGCCAGCTCAACTGGCTTGTTGAACAGTTAAGCAAACCCCTAGTAAAAATACTTAAACTCTTCATATGCAAGTGAAAAACAAACCCAGTCTTTGAAGCATGGTCACAAATACATAGAATGAAAATGTATTGGCAGAAGAGGAGAGATGGTATTTCCTTACCTCTCAGACTAGCATTTCAGATAATTTGTTCCTTCCTCTATAATGCAATATTCAGGAGGGTAATATAAAAATAGAAATAAGTCAAATTGATACCAGTCTAGCAAAGTGAGACTTTAAAAACTGAGAAGCATTTTAAAAAACCAAAGAAATTCCTCTTGCTCATTATTAAAAAAAAAAAAAAAGAGATAGTAACTTTTTGGAAGATTAAAGTTTTTTTCCCCTGCTATCTTCATTTTGTTGTTGCTTATACTGCAAGTCTAATATCAAAGTGACAGCCTGCTTAATTTTTAGCAGAAAGCCCTCAATATTGAAAATCACTGATTTCATTGTGAAATCATTTATGAATAACAGTCTAGGCACCAGATCTTCAAATAATGCCCTGCAGGCAAAATAGTCTTTCCACCTGTAGTGGCGGAACAGCCATTTCGGACATTACGTCCACTGATCTGCTCTAGGTCCAGTTTATACAGTTTCTAGATTTCATGCTTACACTTGCACAAAAAATATTTTTGAAGCAGAGAAGAATATTGCATGTTAATTCTGAGAGGAGGAAAAACATATTGTACAGACAAACTGGTAAAGGTATATGAAGAAATGCTAATTTTTCTATCATTCTCCAAAAGGAGACCTGCAGCTGAACTATTGTGCCTGAACTATTGCATGCTGAAATTTTAAACAAAATGTGCAGGCATAACAATTAAAGTATGCTAAAATAAGCTACCATCAAGCAATTACAATCAGGTGTTTCTCAGGCTTCTTTATTACCAGAAAAGCAAAATTTTTCCACTGACAAAAAAGAGCATGGAATTTCATCCCAGCCAAATTTTCCACACTGCAGATGCTTCAATGGTTTCAGAAATTTATTTCAGAATTCAGAGTTTTATTCAGAAAAGAACAATTTGTAGGATTGGGACCATAACTACTTCTGGAAAAGAAACTGAAAAATTACAAAAACTGCACATTTCAAAATATTTTCAAGAATTTAAGGGAATTACCTTGTTGCCATTAATTGACAAGCAATGACCAGTTACAGCATAGCGACAGAGATCTGAATATGAGAGCCAGCGCAGGCAATTGGTTCCCAGTGCTGAGGTTTTCCCAGTGGCAGGGTCACTGCCGAGAGCTAAGTCTTCACTGCCGACCTTACAGGTTGTCCCTTGCCCCGTCCTAAGCTGAGGTCTGAATTTTTGTTCCCTGCGAATATATTTCTCAGGTGCGTCAGCTGTGGTGGTGAGAGCGATGGAGTCACGAGATACCTTTACTGATGGGACAGCGCTCGTTATTTTGTCCTCATCCTTTGGGAGTCAGAGTTCAAATGTGCTGAAACTCTTTGACCTGGCTCTGCCTAACCAATGTTGCAAGTCAAGGAAGTCCTTCCAGGTCAGAATCCAGGTGGACAGTGCACACCAGGAAAGGCAAAATCCTCACCTTTCATCTTGATTACTTTTGCTGTACCACTTCTGTGGATGAAGAGGACTTCAGTCTAAGGAGCTGTCAAGGCAGCATCTTCACAATAACGTGTTCAAGCAAAACATAAACAGGGCTGAAAAGTAAAGTGGAATTTACGGCTGCATGAACAAACACAATTTCACTTCAACTCATCGCACATAAAAAATGAAAACTAATAATGTTAGTAGAAGGAATCTGGCCTGATTTGATTTGCATTTATCGTATGAGTCAAATGGAGACTTTGTGAATGTAAAGGCAAAAGGTTAAACACCATAATAGGCACAGAGTTGATAATCTCTATCAAATTGAACGCTGCAGTACATCCAATCAGATTAACTGATCTCAGAGCCAGGTCATGTAGAATAAATTAATAACTGAACCTCGGTATTCACCTAGATCCTAAAAGATGTCATCACATTTTCTCTCAGTTGAGGATAACTTGAAACGTGGTTGTTTTTTCTTTTGAAACTAAGTTTTGTTTTGTCCTTGAATGGTTAAAACCAAAAATAAACAGTCGTACCAACTATAATCACGCTTCATTATGAAGGCAAAGAACCTACCACACAATTCTGAAATGGAGAATAAATATCAATTAACTCAATATATTAATCTTCAACCAGTTTGTTAACAAGGCACAGACACTCTCGCATTCAGCTTTCTCAGCTCCTCACATGTGTGGTTGGATTTCCCATCTAAGAGGCAGGAGGTTTTAGCTGTAGACCCTCCTCAGCCTCAAGGAGTTGTCACCTTTATCTTTGTCACCTTCAAAGCACATATCACTCTCTACGCAAGTTTCAGAGGAGAGATGGAAATGTCAGTGGTTAGGCCACTTTCTTCAGAAATCGGTTTCAGCCTCAGGCGGGAACAGAGTTCCCATGGCATACAAATGTCTGCTATATAAAAGGGAGGCATTGTCTCCTCATGTATAAAGAGCTAGGTATTTATTCATGCCCAAAAGGACAGCTTAGTCCAGGAGGGAACTCGAATCCAGAATATCCTATTTAAGGAATATGCCTCCCATGTGACATACTGCAAATGCCTTCGTTAGGCACCTCACTTTGTCAATGCTACACTCAAAGCCCAGACCGTGGATACAGCAGAATTTGAGGCACCTCAAAAATATCTAAAAGGCCTGATTTTGAAGCCATATTGCTCTCCCCATGCGCAGTTCACCATAACCCAGAACAGATCAGCGTAGGGTCAGGGCTTCAAATGCCACAAACACAACTGAATAATCAGATCTTTGCATAAGGCTCTGTGTTGCACATAATACGCATGAAATACAGTCAGGAGAACTCCCAGGTTCTGCAAATACCCAAATACCAAATATTTCTCAGCATTCCTATTTACTTTGTAGTACAAGGAAAACAGTTTCCTTTTTTCTTCCTCCTGGGGATGTAACCCAAGATATACCTATGACATGAAGAGCACTAGCAGCTCAGATCTTTTTAACTAAATGGGTATGATGTCTCTTTTGTAAGTTCAGCAAGAGGTCTGTCTCCCTGTCCATGTCATTTAGTGACACATAACACTTGTAGACATGTCCAGAAAGAGCCATACTCTACATCAGCTGACAGCAAAGTAATCAGTTCAGAGACCCAGGTTAAATATCTCTCCACTCTTTGCACCTCAAAAAAACATGATGAAATCCAAACAAAAGCTGTTAAAAACAGGGAGGAGGGGAAAAAAAAAAAAAAAAAAAGCTTTCCTTTCCTGCCACATGATAAATTAGATCCTAATGTTTATCCAAGGTCAGCAAAACAGCAACCTCTTCCTGCCAGCGAGTTTTGCACAGTGAGGTGTCGGGGTCCGGCTATGCCGGCAGCGCGGTTCTGAGGACAAACACCTGCTGCCACCCGCTCGCGGCGAGGAAGAGCTGCTCACCAGAAGGCGAAGGAGCAAAGCTCTCCTCCGTTGGCTTCACAGCAGTGCGGGGTTGCATCCGCTGCCGTCTCTGCCCACAGAGTGCTTTATGGTTCATTTGTACTGAAATTTCCTTTGTGAGCCTCAAAGCCACCCTACGCTAGCACAAAACCTCTGCTGAAAATAGTCCAAGATCGCCTACGCATTTTTTTTTTTCCTTCTCAGTCGAGCCGACGGTACCTTATTTACTCCTTGTCCTTTATAGATGACTTAATGACGTATCAGCAAAATGCATTTTGAACACATTTCAGGCATTTCATACCAAAATGAATAGATGAAAGAACAGGATTTTTGCCAACAGCGCTGATTATTCTTTTGTCAGTAGATAGACGTGACCTGGACTATTCTGTTACCGTAACAAATGTCTCCAGAGGTTGCTAGACAGAAGAGACGCTTTGCCTGAGGGAGAAGGCATGAGAGGGGAAGAGGCTGGAAGGTGGCCTATAGAGAAGAGGATGGAGGTAATTAATGGTTATGCCCATGTATAAAGATAAGTGCACTAGTAAACGTGTCAGCCCTTTGGCAACAGAAGCCATGAGTTCTAGAAACCATGCCTTGACACGGTTCTTCTTTACATCAACATTTTTTTTATATAATGTGGCTCTACATGGATCTGTCAGATTTCGGCAGGCGTAAATCAGATCAGAATTGGCTGCTCTAAAATTTCAGAGGGTTTTGAGTTGGACTTACTGCATCTGATCGGAAGATAAGTCTCCACAAAACACATAAGAAACTGGAGACATGCAGAAAACTCTTAAGAGACCAGATGAACTTACACGATTTATTTTAATGGGAATCATACCTACGTCAAGACCATAAATATTTTCTAAATTTAGCTGCTATTCCTGCAACCAAAAACACATATGCTCACTCAAGTAAAAACCCACTGAACTCGAAAAGGTTTTCAGCTTAGTTTCAGCTTCAGTTGTGCAATTTGCAGTTCAGAATTATTGCCGCTGTTGTCTTTTTTGTATGGATTTACAGCGGCAGAAATCCCCTTGAGCTAGAAAGCATTTCTAAAGCGAAGTGTCATTTATTTCAATCTGGAGTGAAATATACCCCTAATACCTAATGCAGAAGTCGTCTACACTAAGTGAATGTACTGATTTCAGCACATCTTCAAATAGTTTTTTTTGGAACTATAATGAAAGATATCTACCTAAAAGCGCATTCAGTTTTAAGTTCAGGGCAATAGGGTTGCGCATTATTTAGCTACACATTTTTTAAAAAAGGAATACTTTTAGGAAAGGCCAGATTCGTGTGACATAGTTGTGAATAATATTGGAAGAAGAAGCTGTCTGGAGTCAAGAATTTGAAGCCAGCTGTGATAATGCAGCTCCTGACTAACTAGAACAGGTTTGGATACATTCCACCTGGCTGACCACCTACATCATGAACCCATTTACCCTCGGTTGCCTCTGTAATCAGTGGAGCAAGAGAGCCGCTCCATGGGAGTGATTCAGATCTTTGGTGTGGTCCATGAATCACCCGCTCAAGATGCTTGTCTCTTCTCATTGACTCCAGAGGGAGCCTAGGGCAGCCGGACTCCGGCCGTGGGAGCCGCAGTTAGATGTCTAAACCAGCGTGAGAGGGACCTGGGCTGGGATGCTGGATACGTGCGAGAAACAGCACGGCTTCTTTGTAGGAAAGCAAGTAAAAAGAATGTGAATGTCCATAGAAATAAGCAGCGCTGTTATCAGCTTCATTGCTTTGGGTTTAGCAGCCCAGGATTTGTCTGTCTTGCTAATTTTAACTGGTCTGGAATTAAATTATTGCATTTGCAAGACTGGAGCCTAGAACTTCAGAGCCATGGCAATCTCTCAGGATATGTAAAAAGTCAATTACCAGGAAAAAAGAATTATGTTCTTTTTATTCCAAACCACCTTGTATACGCATGCAGTGATGCCAGAGTGAGGTCTAAAGACACTGAGCCTTTCACCTGTTTACTTCACAAGAACCCAAGAGAGAACGAGAGTTGGTTTCTATGTGGATCATTTCAAAATTGAGGCTTCAGCTTTTAGAATGTTTTGAGACCTGTTAAGGGAAAAAATAAAATTAAAAGATTGTATTATTTTAATAATATATGCAATGAGCTTTACAAATAGTCTGACTAGAGCAAAAAGGATTTGCATGTGAAGTAACACTTCTGTTCCTGTAAATCAGAGTTTGAAGGAAAAATTTATTTTTTTTTTTTTTTACTTTGCTATGAAAAGGCTCCTACTGTTTCAAGTGGCTTTGGAGTAGGCACTAAGCAAAGTGGACCATGATTTCTATGTACTCAGGATCCTCTATTATTAGTCCTTCATGCTGTAGTAAAGTAGATAAAAGCATTTAAAAAATAGAGAGATCTCAAATAGCACTTAAGCCTATTTTTAATCCTTAACTGACTAGATTTCAAGTGATAACATACCTTTCATTACATGCACATTGCCTGCATGAAATTGTATGCAGCAATCTCTATCTTCATTATTCAGAAGTATGCTGAACTATTAAACCTGTTTATGTGAAGATAATAATGTAAGGTATGAGTCCCAAATCGTATGTGTGTAAACAAGGCAAAACAATTTTTCTGTGCAAGCAGCATCAGCTTATGGGCAAATGAAAATGTAAATAATGCTTTCAGTGAATCACTAGTTTAGGTACACGAGTTAAATGTTTATTTTCACTATTTTAGAACTCCCCACTGTCTTCACAGTATTTACTAAAAATATTCATTTGCTAAAATGAATTGGCTGAGATGGCGACTAAAAACCAACACGGCCTCAAAACGAAGTCATAACAAAAACTGCAACAGATAAAAATTCTAAAAACTATGGAAAATTGCAATGACAGCAATGTGTTTTGCCAAAAAACATCCCCAGTTTCAAGGTGATCCTAAGGCTCAGATGAAATTGTCTGCCAAAATATATGATGTATTAAACTGCTATCAAAGAAAGTTCATTTCCCAATATTATTTTCCTGTTCTGATTAATAGTGATTCTGCCTAGGCAACCAAGTAATTTAAAACTTAATTTCACCTTCGGCATTTTGAAAAGAAGGTTACTAGGTCAGGATCTGACATGGAAAATAAGTATAGGTATAAGCCATATAATAGTAAACATTCAGCTCAGACCACCTACTAGTAGCCTTGAGCAGCAGAGTGACATTTAAAAGCAATCAGAGTCAGAAGAGAACCTTCAGGGAAAACAGCCAATACTTTAGAAAAAGCAGCCCTACTTCTGCCAGAGGAAAAAACCAAGACCTTTGGGAACAGTGCTCAAGTCAACTTGAAACAAATATTAAGAAAAATAATGGAAATAGAGTAAGCGGTACTTCTCCTCTTTCGCAAAATTATCATAGTGTCTTTTTAAGTAAATTCCTTCCCTGTGTGCTTCTGTATTGGTCTGTCCTTACCCTTCAGCGTTATGCCTGCACCATAAAGTGCACACTACTCTGACGTTTAACTAACCAACACATGAAAGGTAGCGCACGCCTGTCAACATATAAGCCTAGAGAGCTGCAAGGGGTCTCATCCTTAGCTTTTGAAGAAATGCCATGACCTTGAGCAAAATACCGTACGAGTCCATAAACCCAGAGCGTGCAGGACGCGACCTGGGCGAGACGTGCAGCGGGGAGGAGAACCCGCAGTGCCTCACGGGGGAGGCAGGATGCCAGCAGCATCCTCCCTAATGTAATGTAAATAATAACAGGAGCAGTAGCTGCCTCTGCACCGCCGCCCTGTTTGCACAAGTTATCCCTACTGCTGGCTTCACTCTTCCCTTAAAGAAAGGCAGTTTCAAGGTTCCTGTCTGAAATTATAATTTTAGTGCTGCTAAGATATCCTGGCGTTGAGATGTATGTGTTAAGGATGCCTAAGTCCTTGTTGAAGCGTCTTTTTTAACAATGAATAAAAACACAATGAGACCTTGCATCCCTTCTTGGCTTGCCAAGTGTCTGTTACTAGGCTGGGCAAATTTACCTTCCCCCTACACAGGAATCTCCTCTGGAAAACTTACAGTCGGGGAGCAAGATTTAAGAACTGAGGAATGCCTTCTGCAGCCCTTGGAATTAGAAGTTTAGGGGATCCAGTGCAATCAGTATGCATAATCGGAGAGTTTAAATACCAGTAATTGTCCTCTCAACTATAAAGGCAGTGTACTTCAGTAAAATCTCCTCCATCAACGTTATTAGTCGCCATGTACAATACTTATGTCTTCCAGAGAGAATACCTAATTCTTCTGACTTCGATAGCAATTTTTCAATCATACAACTGAAGCGGCCAATTTCTGCATCACCTTCCAGAAAACAAATACCTGTTGTTAGGAACAGAGCAAGACATATGCAGCTTCAGATAGTTACTACTGAGCAGTACGTATATTGGAAACTGAAGCTGTAATGAATTATATTAACCTCCTGTTTGATATTGGCATAACATGGCTTTCTGTCTGTCCAAAAGGCACAAGTGCCAAGTCCCAGCTGAGGCTTGGCTTTGTACGTACAGCGGTACCCACGCTACAGTGGCATGTACAGAAGCTCATGGCCAAATGTCATCCTGCAGAGACGGCAACGGCGATAGCGGGGATAACAGTGAAAATGCTCTCCCGCCACGCACCCTCTCATATGGACATTTATGAGCACGAACACCACAGTTCATATTGCTTGCTCTAACTGGAGTCAGACTTTATATTGTTGCGTGTGTGTGTGTGTATGTATGTATATATATATATATAAGGTTGTGCTTCTTGACTGATCCCTGTGGGTCACTCCTCTGAGTACAAGCATCTCACAGGAGTGTCTTTATATCCACCTGAGGTTTGATCCAGCGTGTCCTCAGCTGCCATTAAGGTCTTTGCATGTAGTCTTTTGACTCATCTTAGCTACCAACAAAAGATTTGTCCCTGTGTTGTGCCAGATAATACTCTTAGTCACTTGAGTTTTCTTTTTGCCTTTTTCTGTTTGCCTGAATGCCTTGTTCCTTTGTATGGAGGTATTTACATAGCTTTTGTCAAATTACAATTAATTAATGCTGGCAGTTATTAAACAAAAAGCCATTTACAATATAGCTGCTGAAAGTAAGATTACAAGGCATGTAGCTTGCAAGAGAAAAAAACAAGACAAAAAGGTATGAAAGGTAGTCCTCTCCCTGCTCTTGGTTAAGAAATCATTATTTCTAGGAAGGTGGACAAAAGCTGAAAAAGCCTTGTCGTTGTCTTAAGTTAATCCTTAAACGAAGTGAGAATAGCAAAAAAACATTTAGGAAATGCCTGAAAGCCACGTGTAAGATATAAAGGGGAAAAACTCATAATAGAAAAAACAGCAGACCTGACATTGTTCATCTGTGCCATAATAAGCAGGGCAAATTATTTATTTCAAAGCTAAATTCCTTGTTCTCCTGAACACAGTTCATATTAAAGACCCTTTGACCATACCATCTGTTTGCATTGTAATTCACATTTAGAAGAGTCAACATAAATATTGACTCATGAACACATTCTAGCTTAGGCCTGTAAGTTAAGCTGTCACAATACACTTAAGCTTTTGCGCAAAGAGCTAGAGGAATATTGGTCACTTTTTCCTTTTGTGTTACGTACAATCAATCAGTCAGTACTCCAAATACAGGTCAGATCCTCTCCCAAATCCAAATAAACTTCCCTTTGTCCCTTACACGATTTTAAATAACGATGCCTAAAACTTCCAGGAATCATTAATGTTTCTTCATACGTGAATGTGAAACATTAAGTCTAGCCAAGGTGAGATTAATTTGGTGTTTTTGGTCTAGTGAACTGTTGCCCTTGCCACAAAAGCCATCGAGGAACTTGGCACTAACTCGTTCTTTGTACTTTTAACCTGTGAAGCCAAAGACTGAAATGACAGCGACTCTTCCATCTTCTGCCGTAATTATTTAGGGGCACCATGAAAGTGCCTGCAGAACAAGAAGGAAGGATCCTTCCATTCACTTTGGTCAGGTATATTGTTTCTAAACCACGCTGTGATTGTTAAATCATTTATTTGGTGTCTAGAGCTGCTGCCTGCAAGAGCAGAATTAACAGGGAAGAGAACAGAGGGTTAATGTCAGCATCACAGATTTTGTGTTGACCAAAATATTAGATTGAAGGAAAATACTGAAAATTATAGTAACCAATGACTGCTCTAACGTATAATAGGAATTAAGCCAACTCTTGCATTTAAAGCTGCGAGATTAAAGGAATGGCTTAAAATCACTTTTGCTCTGCCTCTTGAAGATGCAGCAGCTGGCCCTGAATTTGTACTTAATATTTAGTGTTGGCCCAGAAATACAACACAGTTGTTTCTAGCAAAACTAGGGCTGCTCCTGGAGATTGTCATAGGGATATATTTCTTTACAGAAATAGTATACAGCTTATAAGTGGTAGACATATGCTTGAGAAGCAGTACTAAGAAAGCCCTGTCAGGGAAGTCTTGTATTCCAGATTAAATCAAATAAAGTTACTTAAGGGTGTGCGTACGTATGCATATCTATACACATGCTATATAGACACACATAGAGACAGGTATGTTTATATACACATACACAAGCGTATCAGGACTTGGGAGGCACGTCATTTTCATGACCAACACTTTCTTTGTCTCCCATAATAAACTGTACAGTTTCCTTTCACCAAAATAACACAGCACAAGTTTGATTCCAATACAGCTTAAAGCTGTGTACAAACAGTAACGTCCCTTGCATAAGCATTCAGCATTTACCTGCTACGTGTCCATGGATATTCAGCTAATAAGGGGAATATTCAGTGTGATACAACGAAAATAAGTTCTGCAGTACCAGATTTTTGCTGTAAACAGAATCATCAGATTTTATGCCAGCCAAAATCTACAGTGAGAATTTTAAGTTTTAGGAACCAAACCCATTTGTAGGATTGGGTTGTTTTATCATACATTCTGCAGAAAGGTCAGGATGTCCAGTAGTTGCAATGGGGAAGGTTCTTGACTCCCAATTTTAAGTGCTCCTAAAGATAGCATCTCTTACCTGTCTCAGTTTGCAGCCAAAATGCTGCAGAAAAGCCTGCATATAGAGA